TATTTAATAGAAAGACGCTCATTCATTCATGGTGTTTATAGATTGACAATGTTTTTTTTTGGGGGGGGGGTGCGGGGGTCTTTTACTAGAATTACTAGTGTTATCACTATTTTGTTACTTTTCTAGGTTCTCCTTGTTTGTGGCTGTTTGTGTCTCAGATTAAGGAGTTCTTTTCCAAAAGCTTTGCTTATACACCACGGTATGAATTGCTACGTCACTGAAGTAGGCTATGGTACCATGGTAAAGCTTGTGGTTAGCGATTATAAATAACAGTAGACCTACATTTCTTAATTTATATTTCCTGATTTGAGAATTTATATGATGTTGTTCTCCACTCAGTGGCCTTATTTTCTACTTTAAATTGTTGTCCAGCCAAACAGTTAAACAAGGTTAAATGTATCCATGTTAATTTGAAAATTTTCATTAACGTGTTTTTTGTAAGTGGTTTGTAAAGAGAAATATTGACATTACGAGTAAAAGTACCAGCAAAGAATTTGGCATTTTTGATTGCTTCACACAGTTCTAGATCTGGGTTCTTATGTCCACACAAAAATAATGCTGAGCATCTACATAAAGATCAATATTTCTGAAAGGGTAAGTTGATGTGAGAACTGCTCCTCATACTGTGGAGGTGATGCACTCATGTTTCAATTGGGGGAGAAAATACAAATACTGACAGCTAGTGGAGATGAGAGGTACTGCAGAATTTATGGGACTTTTTCTAATGACTTGTGCAGAACTGAATCCGGAAAAGCAGAACACCAAGAACGTACAATACACTACATAATGATGTATTATGAGTTCACTGGGTAGAGTAATGTTAGAAAATAAATAAAAATATTTAGATAAACAGATTTCCGCTTTCACAAAATCACAACACGAGTGATCTGTTGACTGTCATGCACAGCAGCTTCAGAAGTATAGTATATACTGGTGGGCCAATTGTCCCACCAGTATATACTATAATGGGTCAATCTTGGCCTTTTTCTAACATGTTATAGTGTTTGGTGTGATTTATGACAAGAAACAGGCGTGTATGGATTTTCATAATCTGACAAGAAATATCTGTACAGACATTAGAAATGTTTATGCATCACTTTAGTCGAGATTCTACATACATTTCATACATGTGACCCCATATATACATATGATGTTTACACTGTGTGAAAGTGATGCTTTCTTAAGAAAATAAATAAATACATGAATGAATAAAGAACTCAGTCACTGATATCACTCTCATTGTTTTACAGAACTACAAGGCCACAGTGAAAAGGTGAGTGTTATTGTCTCCTGTCTCTCTCTCTCTTGTCTGTGGTTCTGAACTCAAAGCTGAATGTTCTTCCAGAGCTCAGGTCACACTGCAGGATCCAGAGAGCCTTTCAGGAGAGCTGCTCCATGTGGGGAAACACCTGGCCAACCTGAAGTTCACAGTCTGGGATAAGATGAAGGAGATTATTCAATTCAGTGAGTCTCATTTTCTCTGATGTTCTTTCTTTTTCATCTTTTATTTTTCTCTGGTATTTTGGGGCAGATCCACTAATGTTTTGCACTGTGATAAATCCTGTTCTGCCATTAAGATTTAGGTTATATGACCCTTATTAGTCCCACAACAGGGAAATTTCATCTCTGCATTTAGCCCATTAGTGCAGTGAAACACCCCATACACACTAGGGGGCAGTGAGCACACTTGCCCGGAGTGGTGGGCAGCCCTGTTTGCAGTACCCGGGGAGCAGTTGGGGGTTAGGTACCTTGCTCATGGACACCTTAGTTATGTACTGCCAGCTCTGGGGCTCGAACCGGCAACCTTCCGGTCACAGGGCCAGTACCCTAACCTCCAGCCCATGACTGTTGTGGTAGAAGTCATAATATTAAAATATTATATAATCCTGTGCATATACGCCCCAGGATGAATTGCTATGTCACTGAAGTAGGCTATGATACCGTGGTAAAGATAGCTTGTGGTTATATGATGGCAGAATAAGATTTACATCAGTGCAAAACATTACTTGGTCTGCCCCAAAAACTGTGTGAATTGATCAAATGTGCCAAATTCTTTGCTGGTATGAACATTCACTGCAACCACTGTGTCATAATAAACCAGAAAGTAAATTAATGGATAAATTAAAAAGTAAAAATAATCATGACTAAAAGGTCAAGTTGGTGTAAATGCTTTGTCCAGTGATTCTCTTTAATTAGTGTATAAATGTAATGTAAGTGATAAACGCAGCATCACAGCTGCAGGAAGCCGTCTTTCCTCTGAACACACAGCAAACATCACAGGAGCTTTGCTAAAAGTAAAGCCAGACACTATAAATTAACCATTTAGTAGATTTCTATCTCTGTATTGCGAAAAACAAAACAGTTTTTGTGTTTTGAATATTGATGCAACAGGAGGCTCACACACTTACGACCGGCACAACTTTCACCCCATAGAAGACAACATAAAATGTTTACATGAGGAAAAACAATACGAGGAAATTTAAAAACTAAACTGCAAATCATCCTAAACTAAATCACACTGACACAGAGGCACGAAAATGGTTACTGATTATTATCTTACCTTTGATGACTTGTTCAAAGAATAAGACTCTTTCTTTTTTACGCTTATGTACTAAAGGCCCTTTAGCACTCAGAGCTCCAGCGTGCTCAGCCAAGTCTCCCTGATGGTAGATCCGGTCATGCTTGGTGATTGTGAGCTCTGTTTGATGGTAAAAGCTTGTCTTGTTTTTGGCGCTAACACGCTGTTGTTTCAGAGACGCCCGTCCAATGAAAAGCAAGCTTTATTCATAGTTCTGGCAGCAGAATGTCAAATTTTGTTTGACTTCATAAAGTTTTTAATTAATATGTCAATATAATAACTTATTATTTCAAAATAATGACTTATTGAATTGAAATAATTCAACTTTCTCCAAGTTGCTATTTGGACCTGTTAAGTCCATGTTAAGTTTAATATTATACAGCTTAAGCTTAAACACTGACTTTTGGAGCGTGTAAATGTTTTTACTTTTAATATTGCAGTTTTTCACTGAATCCTTTAATAAAAATTTCGAAACTGTGAATGTTATTAGAGGAGCCTGTTAGCTTTTGATAAAAAAGTTATTTTGTATTTATTGAAAAGCTGACATGAAACAATTGATCGTTTTTTTAGGATTGTTGACTCTTTTTTTTTAAGTATGTAATAATATTCAGAAAAAATAAAGTTGTTGATGACAGTAATAAACTGCTGTCCGTGTGTCATCTTGTAAATGTTGTTTTGTACTTTGTTTAAAATTACAATATAACATAAATGTAAGTAAACATTATAGAATGTTCTGTAAATATTCATTACAGTAACTACCTGACAACTTCCTGGAACTTACTGTACATTTACAGAATATTTTTTTATAGTGTATAATTAAACTCATGAAATATATGTATTTCTATGTAAATTACATGTGTGTTTTTTTTTTCATTTCAGCTCCTGTAACTCTGGACCCCAACACTGCTCATCCTAGACTCATCCTGTCTGATGATCTGACCAGTGTGAGATTCACTACTGAAGAACAGCAGCTTCCTGATAATCCAGAGAGATTTGATGATATATCTGTATGTGTTCTGGGCTCTGAGGGCTTCAACTCAGGAACTCACTGCTGGGATGTGGAAGTTGGAGACAATACAGTCTGGTTTGTAGGTGTGATGACAGAATCTGCTCAGAAGAAGGGAAGTATATTCTCCAGGAGTGGAGTGTGGTTTGTGTGGTATAACAGTGGTAAATATAAAGCCCGCTCTCCACCACAGCTGAACACTCTCCTCTCAGTAGGTCAGAACCTGCAGAGGGTCAGAGTTCAGCTGGACTGGGACAGAGGAAAACTCTCATTCTCTGATCCTCTCACTAACACACACTTACACACTTTCACACACACATTCACTGAGAGAGTTTTTCCACTGGTCAGTGTTGGTGATATCAGCCCTGTGAAAATCACAGCAGTTCAGTTTAGTGTATCAGTGAATCAGCTCAGTTAGAGCTCATTCAGTCTTTGTGTGGATCAGCACTGAAACACTGATTAACACTGAAATGATCACTGCAGTTATAAGACCTGTTCAGTTACTGCAGCTGAGCTGAGATTATTTGAGGGATCCAATTGAGAGAAGGTTTATCTTAATTTTAAACACTAATGTAAACTACATTAAAGCAGCACAGTCTGAATAACACTGAACACAGTTCATTCTTAATGCTTAGAGTGTATAAAAATGGAAAGTAATGCAGGTGTAACATTACAAAATTATATATTTGGATTATTACATGTTTTTCTACTGAATTGGAAATCAGAGTTGAAAACACATTTAAGTGACTTAGTGCTTTGACTGAAATGCTTTTGCTTTGAGTGACTCTGTATCTTAATTATGGTTATTTTATTAAAATGCATGTTTGAAGATTCAATTTTGTCACTACCAAAACAATCATAACACTACTGAAACGTCGCCATGTGTTTCAGTAGTGGCTGTTTTAGTAGTGACAATCACATGAAAATTTGGGGCAGCATTTTTTTAAATAAATTTTTTTTAAAATAAATTCATGATTAATCTTAATGTTTCAGCTTCACTTTAAAATAAATGAAAGGATCTTAAAAAATACAAAAAAATAAAAGAATTATTTTCACAAGCTGAAGTTTAGGGGTTAGAGTTTGAGACAGATGCCTCCCAGTAGAAAGCACCCTATAAATGATGGTTTTGTTTATATTTAGCTTATAGCTCAGTTAATGCCTTGTGTTTAAATAAATCAGAACATAATACTTGTACATGTCTAAGATCTGAATTCTTTGTTTTTTTTTACTGTTGGACCGCAGTTTGAAGTAATGGCCCATATAAATTTTAAAATATCTCATATGTAAGTTTGATGCCGGGAGGTTTTATCATATTTGTCGTGTACTTTTGAACAAGTTGTCTATTCATAAGCTGCTTCTTACATCAGCATGAGCTTTACTGTCTCTTACAGTTGCTTAAACACAGTTGTGGAAAGTTCATCTTCATTTCTGAAGCTCTTCTGTGACCCTGATAACAGTAACACAAACCAGGTTGTTGGGTTTCCTGTTTTTGTCTTGTATTGTTTTTGTCTGTTGTAAGTTTGGTTAAGATCAGGGGTTAAACTGGAATTTGGGACGTGGGGGAGCCCTATTTTTCCAATGAGTGTCAACAATGTGGGAAGTGAACACTGTTCAGTGTATGTGGTTCTATATGGAGTTCTAACACTGGCAGATATAGGCCTATACTAATATAGTTACAGTAAACTGTTTGTAAGCTGTGCTACAGATACAGTACATAAAGTACACATTCATTTCTGTGAAACTTAGATAGTCATAGACCATGTGTGCCATTTTCCACAAGCCTCAATGTGATCTATAGTACGAGAGCCAAGCAATGAAATAGTTTTGCAAAAAGGGTTTTATATAGTAACAAAAATGTTCTTTGATTCATAACAATAGTGTAACCCTTTTTGGTGCTATATAGAACCATTTTGAAAGGTTCTTTAAGAACCAAATACAACAGTTTCTTCATTATAGAGAACCATGAAAACATTCAAATGGTTCTTTGAGTTGTCCTGATTTCATATGTAACCGTTGCCTTTATTAAAGAACCTTTGAAGAACCCGTTTTTAAAGGTTTATTTATTGAAATCAATGTCAAGCAGTGATCAGACATGCACATCAAATTTTGCCAGACAGTTGCTTTGCAGTCATAACTCATTTCCAACAAAAACAGTGTGTATATTATAAGCAGAGGCAAAGACATGTGGCAGTGTTTATAAATTATTAAAGTGTGATTAATTAACATGTCTCTAACGGACATCATTATTTACTTTCATGTATAATGTATTTTATGTTTTGCTACTTATTCATTTTCATGGAAAATTTAGTATGTCTTGAAATATCAAGTAAAATTACTTATTACTTAAATGTTAAATGACTTAAAAATTACTGGATATAATTTAATTCATACAGTACTTCATTTTATGTTACAAAAGGTTTACACAGTATGATAAGCAGAACATTGAAATCTAAAACATGGTTTATATGAATAGGTAGAACGGATGGACAGCACAATTCCAAACTGCAGATTAATAAGAGATCGAAAAACTAGGCATGAACGAATAGAACAAATGTGTTTTTAATCTCATAAGAGCTAAATGAAAGAAAGTTCTTCTACCAAAAGAGTTGCAGTTGGTTCTAGGATCTGCAGTAAGCTTCAGCTGAACAAAGTGGTCTGGCTGGGCTATAACGGCAAAGGTCATTAAGGACTTTAAATGTCTTATGCAAGACCTTAGAAGAAGGAAGTTCCTGGTCACCCAGGCTTTTATGTTTTTAACCATATATTTCCCTTTGTGTAACTGTGTCACTGTATGTGGCAGAGCTGATATGTATTCCTGTACCATCAGCATAAAAACAAAAGGCAACATTGTGTTTGCAAATGACATGTCTTAATGGCTGTAAATAAAGGGAGAACAGTAAGGGACCTAAAATAGAACCTTGGGGAACACCACATTGTACTCTTTTAGGTTCTGAAATCTCCCCATTTGCACTAATAAATTGGTCAGAACTTGACCAAAATGACCATGTTATCATGCCTTTTCAGTAAAATATTATGATTGATGGCAGTGTAAGAAATACCCAGTGGGAATCAGAGGGAATCACTGTGCTTGCTAATTCATTGTGGCAGTGCTGATGCTAGTCTCAATAGTGAACAAAATGGGTTGTCTTTTTCATTTCACAATAGATCCTGGGAAGTTTTAAAAAATCACTCACGAAAAAATTGCATTTTGTTTTTGACTATGTTTTTCCTTAATCGAAGTTGCAACACCATGACATATGGACCCCTAAGAATTTTGATTTGGGTTCCAAAGGGTCAATTAGAAGTGACCTGGACCCCCTGAGTCCTACTGTATTGCACACCTTGTTCAAATGCTGCACTCATATCGAGTAGTACTAGAAATTCTAAGTGATATCCGTCTCTACATTTTACCAAGATAATAAATGCAAGATTATTTTAAAGAAGGTCCAAACAAAGTCCATACTCTTTTTATCCCACTATATTATATATCTTATTACTCCCTTTGCATTGTCTCCCACCTCCTTCCATTCTTTCTCCTGTTTTGCCCTCCTCCCTCCAGCCTCCTCACTTTGTCTGGGTGGAGATCTGAAGCAGTGGGGTGCTGATCTGGCTGGACTGCTGGCTGCTGGTAGCTCTCAACAGGAAGCTTAGCAGCATGTCTTTGGCCCGTGCCGCCTCCAGCTTCTGCTCTCGGCTCAGCTGCAGAGTGATCTGTTCCAGGCTGCTCTGCAGAAGCTCTGAGGCCATGAGAGGCAGTGGCCCGGCTGGGCCCTCGGTCAGGTACTCTTTGTACAACTCCAACAGCTTCTGCTCCAGGTAGCTGTTCAGCTGGGAGTTGGAAAGTGGCCGACCATCCTGCAGCAGAGAGGGACGCTCGCGCCCGCTGCCCTCCCTCCATCTGGAGGTCCTGGATTCAGGGACCTGGGGAGGAGGAAGCAAGGAGGGAGGAGGAACATCTCCAGATAGTAGGAAAGGTCCTGGGTGGAGGTCTTGCAAGTAGCTGCCTGCTGGATCTCCTGCACTGGGACTGAGAGGCATCACCTGTTCCCCAGCTATGTGCAGGTCACTGTAGTGTTGGCAGATGCTGTGGCAGCTGGAAGGCACCAGGAAGCCTTCAGCCCCAGAAGACTCCTCCCTCCCAGGGATGCCAACGCCTGGAGAAAGATGTCGGGAGTCCAGGGGGGCTGCTGCAGAAGGAGGCTGGGAGTCGCCCTGCTTGGACTGGGCCTCTCTAGAGGAGCTGCTGCTCTGCTTCTCTGAAGATGAACGCACTGGAGGGACCATTTGGGCCAAAAGGGCAGCAGTCAGTGGAGGAGATTTCGGAGGTGCTGCTGGGCAGCGTGCAGAAAGACCCACATGGTCAGAGTCAGTGCAAAACGTCATGCGCCAGAGACTGCTTTCACACAGCATCCTTAATCGCCACCTTTACAAGACGACAAATAAAGAAAAAAGTTACAATTTTTTGACTCATTTACTGTGACCTGCTGCTTAAATGACAAACACAAGGTGACGCATTAGAATTGCAAAGGCGCTAATACGCAGATCCACTCAGAGCATGCTTCGACCACAACTGTATGCGCTTCACGTTTTAAAACAAAGTGTTTAAATTGAGAAATCATCAACTTTTCTGCTGAGCGTTCATGAAAGAGCACCGTACGTCATATCAGTATCGTGAATGCCTCCTCTCTGGTCAGTCAAACACAATGAATTGTATTCTTGCTTTTTTATTTTTTGTTACAGAAGTATTATCTGTATAGCATTCACCTTATCAGCTGGCTTCTCTCAGATGCTGTCTTATGTTTATTTACTTTAATCAAATGCATTAACCTGCAGCCTAAGAACTCACCCCTCCTTAAGCATGAAACGCAGCACTCCTCAAACCCTCTCCCTTATCTATTGAGCAACGCACACTGTGAATGAAAAGCACTCTTCTAATTTACACTTTGCGGTTTTAAACCATGTTTTTAAGTAGATAAAAAGTTTGTTCTTAGTCGGTTTTCTAGAACTCACTCCAATCTAAGAAATCAGAGCATGCTGTTTACATGACCGCTGAGTAATCAGATAACTGCAGAAATTTGAATATGATCGGATTTTGAAGTGTATATAAATGCACTCAGTATTGTTCCACTCACCACTGATGGCTTCAAACAGTTAAAAAAAACTCAAGCTAGTTTGTGATTAACAACTACATATTCTACAACAACTAAACATTAACTAAATATTCTCTATAAGGTTTAAATCTGGACTCTGACCAGCCAAAACCATCAGTAAAAACCATTAGTATTCTGGGTTTTACCCTTTATTTATTTATTTATTTATTTAGTTAGTTAGTTACTTTTTGCTCGAGAGTGTATATAAAAATGGAAAAAAAAACAGGAAACTTAAAAACCGTCAAGAATCCTAGCCAAAACATACTGACACAGTGGGCCTGGAATTATTTTTTCATTTATATCTTACCTTGGATGAAAGTTCACAGATCCCTGCTAACAAGGACGAGTGGCTTTGAATAATGGCTTTGCTTAGGCCCCTGGGTACAGACCCAGAAAACCTATTGGGACGATCTAGGCTTTGCAATATTATTTCTGTGAGTAGAATTTTCTGTTCCACCTTAAACGGTGCAGAATTAACATTCTGCCACATTTAAGCATCAGAATGTAACTGCTGTACAGTTTAAGGTGGAACAGAATTTCACTGGCACCAGAATCTGCTGCACTGTTTGAGGTGGAATCGAAAAATGCTGGCACCATAACGTAACTACTGCACCTGTTAAGGTGAGACAGAAAGTTCTGAAAAAAGAAGCTGGCAAATACAAAGCCAACTCCAGCCTCGTACTAACACGAATGTTTAACGCTACTGCGGAGCAGAAATAAAACATACTGATAAACACAATTGCTGCACAGAATCCTGTGGCAGGACCACACAGTTCACTGACTCATCTGAGTTACCTAACTTTAGATAACTAAGGTGAACCCACCAGTTTTCATTTATTTGTAGACAGACAACGTCACTTTCTTTCTCCTGCCTATATATTTTTATTTATATTCTTTAAATCTGTGCTGCTCACCCATCCAGCAATGAAGCAGCAGCATCAGTAGCCTGCTTTTTATGTAGACCTTGCTTGTCTCTGACAATGAACACTGCTCCACCAAACTAGCACTGATTTTGTGGAAAAAACAGGTTAAGCCCTTAATGAGAATGTCAAAGTGTCTGAGTCCTCTACACTCTCATTCGAAGATGCCTTCCTGCTGTAATGTATTCCATCATGGTAGGAATACACTGACAACTTCAGCTGTTTCAGACACAAAACTGTGAAAAGGGTCTATCAAATGCATTAACTGACCCCTGTAAAAAGCACGTCCTGCTTCTTTTTAAGCAAAAAGGGCATCTCCTTACTCAGCACATATGTAAACACTGAAGTCTTAGGCAGCCAAGACAATTGTTTAAAACTATTTTCTCAGCAATAAAAGTAAAAACACTATAAAATATTAGAATAAATGTAAATAAATCTAAATAAGGCAAAGCAAGAATGTGTTGGATAGAAGAATGGAGTTAGAAGAGCACAGGTTTGGTTCCTGACTTCTCACTGCACTCCAGCCAGATGCTCACATGCTTTTGCCCAGTACTATATATACAGTATACTGTATATGCACAAATAAAGAATTCTTATTACTGTAAAAGCAGCCCTACTGAAACTCACCTTCTGTTCCAGATTTGTGTAGAACTGCCTGTCGATTGCTGTGTTTTGTTGCGCTGAGAGGTGAAGTGAAAGCAGCATGAGTCTCCCTGGGTTTAACGCTGCCTCAAGTGAGGAAGTGAAAGAACTGTATGGAGCATCATGATATAGTGTGGTATGCAAATCTGGATATATATTTTTAGTTCACAGTCTGCGGTAAGGATCCAAAATCTGAGACCACCAGTGAAAATGCTTCTGTTGTGCCTTCTTTTCTAATTTAACACATTCACATTTTTCATTTGAAGTTTTGAATGAAGTAGAATCTTTGAAAGTTTAACATAGTTAGTTTTTGGTATTTGCCTTGTTTTGCTTTAATGACAGTGTGCACTCCAGCTGGCATGGACTTTGTGGAAAACATTCATAACATTGTTCACTAAACACTTAAGAATAATTTACACACTGGACCTCCCTCTGAGAAAGCCACACATACAGGGTGATTCAAAAATATTCATCCGATTTCAACGCTCCGTAGTTTTACAACCGTGAGGTGCCTAGGAACCAATCACATTCCAATTGAAAGAGGGGGGTCATAGAGTTTCTGACTGTCAGTCTGGCAGTGAACCTCCAACATCTCAGAGCATTCTTCGTTGGTACCAACAGTTCCAAGAAAAAGGTCACCAGCATCACCAGATCTCATGCCGAGTGACTTTTTTTTGTGGGGGTACTTTTTTTGTGGGGGTACAGTGACACCTGACATGCTCAATCGAGTATGGGATGAATTTGACTATGGTGTTGATGTTGCCTGTACAGCTGGAAGGGCCATATTGAGTACTTATAAAATTACATAATAAACTTTATGCTCAGTTTACTGCATTGTTCTGTAATGATTTACAAGTGAAATAAATCATTTTGAAATCGGATGAATCTTTTTGAATCACCCTGTATTTTGCACATCAGTATCTACGCTGTTTATGCACTAGTGTGCTTTATTCTGTATTTATTGTCTTTTTATTGTATTGTCTATTTTTGTACTTATTGTATGTATATATTGTCGTTACGTGTTTCGTTATAGTGGACACCCGTATATGTGTAATGACTGATGACAATATAGTTTAATTGAATTGACTTTGTGTAGAAGCCTCTGATGAGCAGATCACCTGAACATAAGCTTCAATGGAAGAGATGAGATTAAAAATTAAGACCATAACAAATTAGCTTAAGTTTGAATAGTGAGCCAGAAATGACACGGAATCTTGAAAATTTAATTTTTTACTTTTTCAAAATTGTATTATTTTTTCTTTTGTTTGCTTGTTTTTTTTATTTCCAGGTTTAAATGAAAAATATCCCACATTTTTCCCACATCTTGGACCCCACCGTGTGTCCGGGTACTCCTCATTTTAAATGTTTGTAACTGTCATACAGCCAAAGTCATTCAAATTCCAAACACTGCAAAAGTCTGTAGACACCTGCTCACACGTTTCTTCTGATGAAGGGTATTATTAGGGAGTTTGTTCCCAGGCTTCACACTTCCCAGCTTGTATGTAGCCTGTACAAGGGGATATTGTTTATGTTTTATGGGGATATGATTTACATGCATGCTGATTGCTCTACACTGCTTAGTGTCCGTGTGTCACAGTCCTCTACGTTTCTTATCTAACTCATTGTCCAGCACACATCTGATTTCTTGGCCTATGTTCAGCCCAAGGAGACAGCAGCCTAATTTTACTTACAAAGTCTCGCTGGGTAAACTATCATGTTTCAACTGCTGCTATGATTCTCACTCCTCTAGAAAGCTGCTCTACGGTACACAAGATCAGTTTAGAATTGGGCAGAACAGCTTTCCATATTTTGCGCCTTGGTCATGAAATAATCTTCAGAACATATGACGGCTTAAAGATGTTGTTTCCCTGAGTGATTTTAAGGCTTTGATAAAAAAAATTGGTGTAACTGACGAGGGCATTTGCTATTCTTAAACTGGATTTGGTGTTTTATATTATGTATCTGTTCTTCTTTGCTTGTTTTGAACATGTTCTACTTAAACTGTCCCATGTCTGTTTTGTTATGCCTGATTTTATAATTGCTGTAACTAGAAGTTTTGTGCTATCTTGGCCAGCTTTTCCTCCAAAAAAAGGGAATTTCATCTTGAGGGACTACATGGTTAAATAAGGGTTGAATAAATAAACAAATAAAAACACTAGAAATTGGAACATTGCTATGAGGATTTGACTATATTCCACCACATGAGCATTGGTGAGGCCAGGTACTGATGTTGAATGATTAGTTCTGGATCTCTAACTCATCCCAAAAAAAAGTTGGATGGAGCTCCATCACTCCAGAGAATGCTGTTGAACTGCTCCACAGCTCTATAGACCCCTCTGGCTGACACTTGGCATTGGGCCTGGTGACCATAGACTCACGTGCACACAAACTGAATGCCTGTATCAGCAATGGGTGCACCTTGAAATCACTCATTAGAAAGGCTGTCTGGACACTTTGGTAAATTAGTGTACTTCCAACGCAGAAAAAAAAACAGTTCCTGGGAAGTATGCCTACATTCTTTAATGCGAAGAACACGCCTGTTAAAAGCTAGAGGGCGCCAGAGAGAGTCCTCAGTGAATGAGAGGTGAATTGCACTGTGCCAATATTAGAAAACGTTCTTGTGCAGATGTAGCAAATCAGTCACAAAATGTTTGATGTCCAAATGTTTCTTTAGCTTAGAACTGAGGCTAATATTGCTAGCAAACACTAAAAGTCAATAGCCACCCAAATCTGTAAATCCTCAAAATTTCACCAAGCCTGCTTAAATTGCATCCAGGCCATCAACAAGGTTGCACAGACTTGCTGACATAGTTAAAGACACAGTATGACTTACTTTGAACCATAAAAATAATCAAAATTTCACCATGAAGCTGAATGCAGTCACTCTAGACAACAGGTGTTGTGTCAAAACCCCCTTTCTTGCACATGCACATCACACGGGCTACAGATTCCGTTTGCAATTTCAGTTGTTTCTATTTATAAAAAAACTGTTAATCTTGAAGGTGAGCTGGATTCTATAGAGGAGTCAGAATTCAGCACAACACCTGCAGCTCACAGGAAGTCACTGCGGCCTAGATAACGTTGACAAGTAGACACAGCCTTAAATAAAATCTGGATACAGGTAGAGATGTTTTGGGGATGTACAGGGTGTCCCAAAAAAATTGACATCATTTGAGATGTGAATATCTGAGTAACTACATGGCAAACAAAATTACATAGGCTTCATGTTGAACAATACAAGATTTATTTATCAAAATTCGAACAAGAAATTCAGAGGGATGTAGATTTTATAACCGATTTCACAGCTTCACAAATGTAATATCTTCCAATACTGGTGGTCGCCCAGATCCCTCTGTCCTGCACAGACAGCCTTCCTCTTTGAATTTTTTGTGCCATGTCCAAATCTGCTTTCCAGTTGGTGCATTTTTATTGAATTGTCTCGAAAATACCGCTGCACATTCTTGTTTGACTGTGTTCGAGCATATTCTAACACACAAAATGCCTTTTCATTTCTAGTGAGCGCCATTCTTCAACCTGAAAAAAACATTAAAAATTAAACTTGGTTAGTTTTTACACATTATGTTAAAATTTGAGATCATTTGAGGGAGAATTGGCTGTTATTAGACTACGAAATGATGTCAATTTTTTTGGGACACCCTGTATTTACAGAAAAGATTTGGGTGACTATTGACTTGTAGTGTTTGCTGCATTAGCGTTGCAGGTCCAGTGCTAAACTAAAGAAGCTAAATTTGGACTCTGAACATGTCTTGGCTGATTGACTACATTTGCAGATGGTGGAAAATTGTGTAAATTTGTTTGTTTGCTTGTTTGTTTTGTTCCGTCAAAGTATTCCTTTGAAGAATTTGAATACACTAATTGGAAGGGCTGTCTGGCTATTTTTGGGCATGGCATCCATGGTAATCCCCCAAAACACACACATCTTGCAAAACAGCACATCTGCCAGGAAAGAGGAAGACATAACTTTTAGTTTCACTGAAAATAAACAGGTTGCTCAGTATCCGACCTACCGAGTACTGCACCTGCTGCTTTACAGAAGAACAATTCACTCACTCAGAATTTTTATAAGGCTTGAATTGAAAATATCAGTTGTTATACATTACAACAAAGCTACTTCGTCTTGTTGATTATTGATTATTATCTTGATTATTAAAGATCTGCACTGATTTCTGTTCAAACTGAAACAATTTAATGATTCCTATAGTTTAGAATACTGTTAAAATGTGTTCTGCAACCGACATCCTGTGGGCTACTGTCTTCTTCCCCATGGAAGTTGCTTATAATGTATCCTTAAGGCATTTTAATGGCATAGAAATTAATCAAGATCCAAGTTAAGAGAATATAAACTAAGCAAATTAGGCCGTAGTTAAACAGCACTTCCTGAAAAGGTCAACAAATGTTCACTGAAGGGAAATTCCATCGATATCTCCACATGTAAACAAAGTTATTCACAGTGGTTTGATGTGAAATGCAGCATTCTAGAAAAAATTACTGACTTTCTTTACAGTGGTGGTGATAGGAACCTATGACTAAACACAAACATAGCCATTTCATTACTATCCAAAAACACCAGTGAACCTATATGTGTCTTGTTGAAGATGGTAAATAGTGGTAAGTCTGAAAAATATGTCTTCTTTGGGGATTATTCTGCCTGAAAATGCCCTCCGTGTCCCCTACCAATATGAATGGATTTAAAAATATGATCTGGGACAAAACTTTCTGAAGACTATCATGAAACAATGTGTCAGACATCAGGCAGTGAATTCATAACCATTTCATGTAATAACTTTCTGTGAGGGAGCTTTTAGAAGCATTAAACTCTTCAGATGTCTGGTTCCCATCACCACCACTGTGAACAATTCTGGCTCTTTTCCCATTTTACACCAAACCACTCTTTGCTTACATCTTTCAGGGATGAAATTGTAAATGATATGCTTGGCTCATTCTTAATTGCCTTTTATTTCTATGGGTTTGATCAGTGGTGGTCAGACGTGGCTCTCAAACAGTACTTGAGGGGAAACTTTAGCCAGCAACAGGTGAGCAGGCTCAGGTGTCACATTCACCTGCTGGTTGTGGGCACATGGTAAAGAAGCTGCTTGTTCTCCAGACGGCAAGAGACGGCAAACCATAGAGAATGAAATTTAAGAGTACGGAAAATGATGGACTCCTGAACTTGTTAAAGTCGGTAACCAACATCAAACTCATTCCTATTGACCATCAGCTGCCATAGGCAACAAGTTCTCTTTAACTGTGTAGCTTAATATGGTTAGGGGTTGATTCATTATTAAAGTCTGGGTTAGAGTTACGGACCTGGTTGCTACGGCTACAGAAATGGTCCACAGAAACATACAAAACAGAAATGTCTGCTGTTCTGTCTCTGTATGAATTCAGCAACAATGGACAAGATAACTGATAATAATCAGGAGTTCAAATTTGCGTGGAACCCGTCTTCCTACAGGTACGTTAAATCCCTGTGATTTTTGATGTATGGCAAGTCCATCCAAAGAGGGAATGGATGGAGATCAGGAGAATAGTTTAAACAGGTATCATACTGATTGTATCTTGAGGACCTGGTTGCTTCTCTTGCTGTGATGTTCAAGAAAATCAATGCCGTTTTCCGCCCCAACCATGGGCACCGGTCACAGGAAGACTACCACAATGCCTGCACCGTAAAGCTTGTGCGCAGCACATCTATGCTTGTGGTTGGGGAGAAGAGTGGTGTCCGGCAGGACTTGACCCTGAAGCGGAGCGTCAGCGCAGTCAGTGTGGAGTCCAGCACGACACTGTGCTACTACCATAGCCGAGAGGACAGGGTATGGCTCTACTCCCAGAACCAGAACTGTCTGGAGTATCTCCAGGAACTGGTGGCACTCAGACGACAGTACACCAAGAGCATCAGTGACCTCAAGTATGCCGAACGCCGAGAGACTGTCTCCAGCAAGAAAAAGCCTGCGCCACAGCCACCACGGCCGCCACAGCACAGAATCATCCAGGTAACGTCTTCATTTACTTTGATTGTTTGGGTTCCGGAGGTATTTACCTCAGCAGTGTTGCAGTGTTATTAGAGGTAGTGTGTTTCACATGATTCCTAGAAAGAATGAACCCTAGACTATGATAGGAACCTTACATGTCCATGACATTCAATGGGACAAACCCCTTACCTAGGCCTGTCACAATTATTACACTACCGCGTGATGATGACTATTTTCCAGAGCTGTTAGATTTCACAAACACGTTTATGTCAGAACAAACAAAATGATGCATATTCATCAGTTAAGGCAAATACATGCAAATAAAGGGAAGCAGAACACATTTCTTGAGAAGTGATGGGTCTTGCGAAAACAATAGAAGCTCTGACTGGGGCTATAACACCATTGAGCTGTGAGTCATCAATCGGGATCTCCTTCATACTGACAGCTAGGAAGCAAAATATGTAATTGGTCAGTCTGGCCACATTAGGCTTGTGCTTCAATAAATGGATCCAATGAACAAAAAGAGAGTTTAATTGTTTAGTGCAGTTGCTTATATGGCAGTTAATCTTCAGCTAAAATGTCATGATTGTAACAGGACTACCTATACCAGAGGTATTCAACTCATCCTGGAGGGCCAGAGTCCAGCACAGTTTGATAATCAAACACTGAATAATTAACAGATGAGGTGAGATGAATCACTAAATTGTGCTGGACACCAGCTCCCCAGAACTGGAGGTGAACAGCCCTGCCCCACACCAACAGTGAAATCGAGTGCCTTAAATATCTTTTGAATAAGCGCCATAGACTTCGTCATTGTGTTGGCATTGTGAAGTTGGTGTCATAGTCATATTAGGAGCTGTGTGAAATATGGCTGCTGTCACATCTTGTGGTAAAAAACAAACAAACAAAAAAAAAAAAACCAGAAAAAACTTCCAAACCTGCTACGTTTCCCCCCATGGGTCAATTACGAGGTTGTTTAGAAGTTGAAATATGAATAATGCTACACGCATGCTATAAGAAAGCTAACACTCTCGCATCCTAAAATGCCGCTGAACGACAGCTGTTATATACCTACACCAGCTGTGGCCTAAAACCAACAAAGCAGCATAACCACCACAGTGGACGAAGCCTGCTGGCTTGCTTGGGGGTATTTTAGTGAGGTCAGTCTTATGATGTGAGTTCTGTACACAACAGGGTGAGCTAGCATGTATTATTATTCATGTTTCGTCTCCTTAACAATCTCATAATTCATAGGATTTGGTGACGTGTGGAGGAAAAATGTCTGCTCAGCAATTTTTGATGCCACTGATTTTTCTCATCGTTCTGTAGTTGGTGTTGACACCAACTACAGAATGATGACATGACTTCAGAGGCTTATTAACCAGTACCTAAAAAGATTCATCACACAAACAGAAAAGGGATTTGTGATCTCCCTGCTGAAGGTCATCTGTAATGGACACGTCTTTTCCAAATTTCTCAAAGCATCCAAGTCCAGAACCTTCAGCTCCTCCGATTCCTAATGAAGAGGACACACTGCAGTTCTTTGATGCAGTGATTGCGAGCTGTGACCCCGAGCGCACCAGGAAACCACACGTGGATGATGGCCATGCAGACGTGGACTTTGTTGGTAAGAACCAGAGTTCATTATTTAGACCAATCATAAGCCATTTGATGAACATTTTCCTACCAACAGGGAAAGATTACAGGGAGATCTTTTAGACTGGAACTTTAGGCCAGTGGTTCTCAAACTTTTTTATTCCAAGGCCCCCTTTGTTAATCACAATGCCAGTGTCTCCAGTTTGAGAACTGCTGACAGGGACGGCAGCAGAGACTCCTATGGCAACTGGAAGGAAAACACTGACTCATTCTACTTTGGCTAAAATGTGAGGTTTAAAGTGTCTCTGCACCCTTTTATCAAATTTTATCATTGCTGCATCTGTTGTTAATATGCTTACTAGCCTTCAACAACGGTGCTACAATAATCTCAAGAGTGCGATTTTTTATGTAAAGACTCACAAAACCACCATTTGATGATGTATCTTGAAGGTGGGAGGAACTACAATGAACATGAGGTCAGGCTGTTCGAAATATTTATTATCTTTTTCTGCCAACCGGCAAATGCAGAAGGAAGCCAGACAGTCAATGTTACTGCTAGAAAGATGACCAACTGACCAACAGGGTTCCAATGCTGCATTACAAAATTCTGCATAATATGGCAAATAACAGTAAATGCCTCTTTAAGTTAATTTTATGTTTTTACTTTGTGTTGAATTTCATTTATGACACGATTCCTTCAATAAGTTTTAAATTTTCAAATAAATTTTTGTCAATTTTCTCATTTTCATGAAAATGTTACCAAGTAAGCGAAGACTGTCAAACACTCCATTCTGCCATTTTGTTGCAGTCGTTGCCTTTAGTTTCCACAGTTATGCCAATATTGCTGATTTCTTTTCAGTCGCTTTTGCTCTTCCTACTAAACCAATCACTGCAAAATACAACTTGCACGTTGTTCAGTAGCAGAGACATGAGAAGTCTTTGTAAAAAGGTAACTAATTCACATCATGGCTCTCTTTCCAGTGGCTACCAGTACGTGTGAACATGATCTCCACTCTAACTGGGTTTTGCGGGACCCTCGGCGGATATCCATGGACGAATCTCGTCTGAAGCGGGCAGACGTGAGTACGGAGCAAGGCGCTTGGAAGAAGGCTGTTGGTGGGAGCACAGGCAGCACAAGACGTCTGCAGCGAAACCCCATCCACCTGCCCAAAGTGGTGGAGAGTGCCTTCCAGACCTTGCGCTTTAAACCAAAGCTTAAGAAGAAAGATTAGCACGTGGAATTTGAAAAGAACTCTCCAGCAACTTGGCAAGTTCAAGTACGAATTTCAGCAGTAAGGATTCTTCAGAATGTGCCTTTATTGTGGACAAACCAGCCACAGGTTTTAGTTTCTATGTGGTCTCAAAGAAAGGAAAGAGATTTTGATCAAAGCGTAAAGACTGAAAGATTCTACAGCACAATACATTGCAGGAATGGACAACAGCTGGAGGCGTTTGGTCATGTAGAGTGATATCGGTGATAGATTTTGATTGTCCACAAATGTTACTTGCAAGAGCAGGTTCATCGTGCTCGCTGTGGATGATGGTATCAGATCAGAATGGAGCAGTAAGAGTCGATAGGACTGAGCAGAGTCATCTGTTGTGGAACATAGAAGCTCGGTGACGTAACACTGGGGTCCTGGAGATCCTCACTGGCCCAGCTTCATCAATTATCCAGGCAAAACTAGTCTCAGTTTCAGCAACTCTTCACAGCGTTACGCTCAGGCCTCTACCAGGGCGTGACCAAGCCGTTCCAGATAGAACTTCCGTTCATAGAGTTTTCCAGCCAGAGTAACAGGACTCTCGCCTGCTAACAAACCTCAGTTAGAGATTTGTCTACTGATCTGTCAACGGTCTGATTAATCAGTCAGTCGATCAGGTGCTGAGACAAGGGATGAAAAGCACAATGGGGTCCTCAGGCCATTTCCAGGTTCCTTTGTCGCTACTGATCTCAAGCCCTCTGGATATTGGATATGGATCAGATAACTGAAACCTGGCCGATGTTCAGATCTACCGACCAGGATCTGTTGCAGTTTTGTCCTTGTGTAAACCCATGATGTGTAGTCCACTGGGAACTTTCAGAAAATTACAAAATACATCCTCAATCATCAAAAAATCAAGGCTGACAGACAGGATGCCATCACAGTCATAAAAAATATTTGCTGAATAGGGATGCAAATTTTTGGAAATTCTTTTGACTGACAACCGACCGTTATTAGTCTTTACCTAGTCACTAAAAACACAGTCTAACATTTACCATATAGTATTAGCCCAAGTTAATGAACATATTCATATCAGTTCATATACATATAGTTTAAAAAACAATCAATGCAGTCAGCAATTCTTTAGAACTAGGCTAATTATTAGTTAACAAACACATTTTGTTTTTTGTTTTTTTTAGTTCAGACCATGCCTTCAACATGGTGGTGGTAGTATGAGGGAAGACTGATTGAAGGAGGGGGGAGAACTCTGTGAACTTGGGCCAGAGTTCTGGGCGGCTTCTGCCTGTAGCTAGAAGGCCAGACCCCCCCACAGGTGTAGTAGGACAGATGTGGGTCTGAGGAACAGGGAGGAGATGGGGTGGCGGTGGGGATTGAGAACGCTTCGTCATGGGAACAGAAGCTGAGGATGTGCATTTATAGGGCATTAGATTGGAAAAAGAAGGGGTTTCAGGCATGTTCCTTTCCCCAAACTTCAGTTATAACTACATACATCTTTAGGCTATAGCTTAAGGCTCCACTCAACAGTAGCAACATTGCATTTTATAAAGAGTCTGTTGTAGCTGCACAGCCACAGTACCATGTGGCTAGATATCCTAGTTGTGACTGTGCTGTAAACTACATTTAGGACGGTTCTGCTATAACCCTTTATCAGTGGCTCTGGTACTATTGGTTAAAATAAATTGGAGCCGAGGGGTCGAGACTTGGAGTCGACTTCAGAAACCCAGAGTCGTGCATCACTCAGTAGAGCTACCAGAACAAGTTTAGCTCTTGCACCCTGTTGCATACAATTCAAATACGGTCTTCATAGTGAATGAAAAACTTGCCTGTTTGTGTATTTATTGTTTATCAGAAATTACATTAACTTTTTAACCAAAATCACCAGGTAACATTTTTTGTATTTGTTGTTTAACTGTTAATTGGTTAATATCCATACTTGTGAGCACTGATGTTTTCCTTTACCAAGTGCCTTGATTTGTTAAATTGAGGGCTGCTTTTTAGGCACAAAATAAGCCTAATCTTTACACACGAACTGATTATCCATATTTGTCTATCCCTGAAAACGGGTTTAATCAGTGACCAAATCTGTTAGTGCTTGTTTTACCTAGAAGTATGATTTGTAAAAGATGTTGTGGTGAGAATTGATCTCACTTTGTTTTTAAATAAAAGCTCTGTAAGAGGAACATGTTGCATGTGCACTACTAGTTTCTTATTCTCAGGAAAGAGGAAACAGGGTTTATATTTTTTGCCAAACTAAACCAGGAAAGCCCCACAATACTAAGAGGCAGGTGTCAGATGTTTTCCCCAACCATCACTATGAATAAGCATGCTAGCGCTGAACTGTTGAACACAGGCTTGGCTGTGTTGTTATAGTGACGTCAGAATAATTTTTGTTGTATACTCAAGCTCTTCTATGTACCCAAGTTAACAAGTAGCTCCTTTTTCAGTACATTCAAAATGAATTCTGCTAGGTCTACACTCTTAACAAGATGGTTCTGCAAGGGTTCTTTAGTAGAAAATGGTTCTATATAGAACCATGAACACTCAAAGAACCCTTTGCATGACTAAATAGTTCTTGGCATGGTGAAATGTTCTTCAGAATGATGGAGAGTGTGTTGTATATGGGTCTGCATAGAACCATTTTGAAAAAGGGTTCTTCTACTGTAACATACTTGATATCGAAACAATAGCAGAACCCTTTTTGGTTCTACATAGAACCATCTACCGCACATTTTCCTTCAATCTGAAGAACAATTCATGATGCAAAGAACCCTTTAATTATGCAAAGATTTCTTTGAGTGTTTGTTGTTCTACATAGAACCATTTTCTTTATTAAAGAACCCCTGAAGAACCAGCTTTTTAAAGCATATAGTTCTTGTGCCATCGTTTCTATTTCTTTCGTACCAACTATCTTCCTAAAAGAGTGCGCCAAAATGAGCATGCAAGCTGGCTGGGACTGACTAGCCCATTTTAGATAGCCAGAAGAAAGTAACCCAAATTTTCTTTTAACCCAGAGTGCAGCAGGGCTCTTCCACCAAGTCTATGATGCAGTTGGCATAATGTGGCAGGCAGCACTGTTGTCTTTGCTGCAACAGGGCAGGGTTCAGTTCTCCACTCAGCAAGAACACTACACCACCAAGAGTCCTTGGGCAAGACTCCTGATCTCTGTAACATGATTAAATTTGTAAGTGACTCTGGATAGGAGCATCTGCCAAATGTGTATCTTAATGACACCACATTTTTATTTCTATTGGATTTACCATTATTTCTACTTATTATTATTTTATTACTTATTATTTCTACTGCCAAGTCCCTGAAGTACTGGAATAGCTCTGCTAGGTTTGGGTCCACTTCTCATGATTCAACAAGAACACATGGATAGAACTAAAAGCTCTAAGACCATTGATTAGTGAAACGCAGTCACCTTGCTAATCGTCTTCTCAGAACTTCTACTTTAATGAGTACCGTTATTTGATGGAAAACAGACACAGGTTCTCGATCAGGGTATGGACAGTTCTAAATTCAGATTAATAACTGCGGCATATCAGTCTGTCAAGTGGTAGAAGTGCTATTAGTCGGCTGTACTATTTGCGAGTCTCCTGTGTTATTCTACTAAATTTCTAAATTGCTTGCCAGCTTTACATAGACATTCTTGAAACCATCTGTCTTTTACGATGAAACACAGAAAAACAGACTAAAACCAAATTATACATTTGCACATTTGCTGGGTGACCACATTAAGGGGCCTGATCATATATATTTCTTGTATTTTGGCATCATGATTCATTTTTACATGACCATTTTCCAACCTCTCTTTATCCCTTATAACTAAACAGCCTGTTTTTGTAATGGTCCCTTTAAGACTGGTATATGTAAATGAGCTCTGTTCTGACTGGCTGCCCTGTGCTCTGTATTGTGCCTCATTCAAAAAGCAGTCACGGGCTTAAAACTTCAGGGTGAATGGGAGGAGCTTAAACTGCTGTAGGCTGAATAGGTGGATATATGTAGATGAATTGGTTTTGTGACATCACAAAAACAACTCAAAATGGATTAATATATATATACATATATACATATATATTCTCCATATAAGGACTGTATGGACTGGGAAACAGATAACATGTTTTGAAACAAGGTTTACATACTACATCACATTCTAATAAGAAAAAAATGAATAAATAAATTATACGTAACATTTAACATAATATATATTAGCTGTACCGGAAGCACAATCATCAGTTAAAACCATATGTTGGGTAATCGTCTCAATTCTTAGGTTCATATTAGGCAAACAGAAAAAAAAATGGACTTCACAGTCCCAGTACAGCTGGAAAGCATTATTTATGCAACACAAAAACTCAATCAAATAAAAGACCTTGGTGTTGTCTTTTTTCCACTTTATTAACAAAATAAACACATACACACATTCACTCACTCAGTTCTTTTCCTGTTTGACTTTTGGACTAAAGAAAGCAGACATGCTCTTCATGCCAGTCTTGTCCACTTTGGCCAGAGACTTCTGAGCTGCTGTCATCTTCTTAGGAGGCTAGCGAGGGAAAAAAAGACCAAAAAAAACAAAAAACACAACTTGACATCTCTAAAGCAACTCAGAAAGTAACCTGCAAGCAATAACAATCAAAAGGCAGGAGGAAAGAGTGATAGAAAGAAAGACAGACGGCCGCCCAAGGGAGCTTCCAGCAAAGCATGAATCAGTTAAGCCCAAAAATCTCCTGTCATCTTCAGATCTGTGTTCTCACTCACTTTTCGGACGAAGTCAGCACTGTTGAACTTGGTGTAGTCTTCGCCTGCTTCCACGGGTTTATCGGACAGTTTCCTTTTCTGTCAAACACGGGACAGTAATCAAAACCACCACAGACTTAGGCTACGTTCACATTAGCAGGTGGAAGTGGCACAAATCTGATTTGCCCGAATGAGACTCAGATCTGATGTTTTCAGGGCTGTGTGGACACAAAGCTGATCTTTTCAAATCCGACCTGAGCCACTTTCATATGTGGTCCTAGATCGGATACGTATCCGATTCGTGGCCATGTGACAATGTGACGCTCAGATCGTAATTCATGTGCTTTTTTTCCACTGCGCCATCTTTCAGCGTTACCATGGCAGCAGCGCCGAACAGAAGGTAAAGCCTGTAAACGGTGGCTTTTTCTCCTAAGTCTCGCTCTAATAATGAAGCTGAGAGCTGATCACGGGATAATAATCTTCTCAGCGAAGCTCGTTCTGCTCGTTAGTTTGTGCTGATGATGCACGTGATTCATTCACTTGACATTACTGAGTAGGATGTGCTCATGTGGGTCATTTCAGGACGCTTGTTCGTCACATTAATGACAGATATTACTAAAACGAGTGTGAACCATCGTGTCAGAGAGGTCGGATTTGAGCAACGAGGCTTGTAATGTGAACGTAACCTTATTCATTAAATCAACTATCCATCTACGCTTCCCCCCAGTGTTAGTCACAGCTAATTCTTCAAACTGCATGACCACTAACCAACTTGTAGGGGTGAGAGTTTGCATATGCATTCTCCATGACATGCAGCCACATCTTTGATGCCAATTGAGCAACATGGTAGACATCTAAATACAGCAGTATACATCTATACATATCAACAAAATTCCCTTGATTGACTAATAACACTCCTGTGGACAGATGACTAGCTGCGGTGAGGCCTGCTGTAGTAGTAAATGTTCAGTGCAGCACTGTTGGAGTGGCTTATCACAGTGAACATGATTCCCACTGACAAAAATAGGTTTACTTAAGCATCTGAACCAGATTTATTTGGGTATGGTCAGAAGTTTTAACTTTACATTGATAAATGTTTGGCCATGGAGGGGCCCACACAAAATGTAAACTGGCCTACCATCAGTTTGTATTAGGGTAACTTGGTTGGTTCCATTTTTCTAGTGTACAACGCACTGTATGGTTACTGACACACACCACTGAACATAAAATATCAACATAAATCACACAAGCTGGGTTTATATCAGAAGCAACATGACACAGTGGTAGCTGAATTCAGTAATTAGATGTGTCTTGATACTTTTGAATATACAGTATATACATATATATGTGATTATGGCCAACATGCTACCATTGTGGTGTTGCAGTGGTTGTTGTAGCCCTTCCTGCAGCACTGCATCTAGTAGTGGGCGGTATGGCCAAAAATGTATCAAGGTAAAATTAAAACTTCTGACCATGTTGGTATCTAAATAAATCTGATTCAGATGCCTAAGTAAACCTATTTTTGTAGAAGTCTTATTATTCTGAGCTGTCCCTTTCTTTTAATAAGAAACATTTTTAACAGCCAAAATAAATCTGAAATAATTTAATTGTGCAAAATAGTAAAAATAAAACTGAACAATATACAGACAAATCTGTCAATATTGCTTTATAATATTCGCAACATTCGTTCTAAATGTTGTTTCGTGCCTGAATTTCTACAAGTTGGTTCTTGTGCGCCTGCATTTTGTTCAGATTTTCTGTTCCACCTTAAATGGAGCAACAGTTTTATTCAGGCACCTGTACAAGCACCTGAATGTGACAGTTGGGACTATTTAGAGAGGAATGGAAATTCGATTTAGAAGTCAATCTCTTATTTTTTCAATTTTTTCGAATTTCTCAAGTCCTTTCTTTCATACATACGTTGCATATACTTGTGTCCTCAACTGTCAGATGCTGCTGGTATTTGGAAAATATTACAGCCATTCACGCTTCAGTACCAGTTGTGAGATGCAGCTGACCGAGTCAGGCAGCTTCTAAGGTGGTACTATAGAAAACAGAAGCTCTGGTATCCGTGTTAGGCTAAGGCTAACCACAAAAGACTGCCCATTCCTTTATGTTCACTGCCTCGAAAACAAAGGGAACTACCTTAGAATCAACAGACTAGACAGCGGGAAATGATCAAGGTTCTGCTTTGTTTTCATCTGACGTGTGACCGAAACATCCTTGACCCAGCCAATCGGCCAAATGAGCTAATGTTCATGTGACTGGCACTGTTAATATGTGTATTTGTGGCATATAATACAATAAATATATTGGACCAGTATATTGGGTAAACCTGCATACCGCACAATACTAACTGCACCCAGCTCAGAACCCAACTCTGCACTTGTAGAGCACCTATTTGGATGCAGTTTACGTAACTGAGTCACGTGCAAGCCAGCTTTATAACATCATGCATCATAACTGCAAACTTTTTTTCTGACCAGTCCGCAGCTTTAAGCCTCCAAAAAGACTGAATTCATTACAAAGCAAACCAGATCATGTAAAGGGGAAAATATGAACACGCAAAGCAACAGGAATTATATATAAATAGACATGAACAAAGCATAAATTCATAAGGTGCTGCATCTGATTTTGTTGTAGAGCAAAGCTGCCCAACAGATATTTAGTAAGCAACAGTGCAAGTACAACCAGATATTATGTGTCCATTAAAAGCAGTGGGCAGACTTTAGTTGCCACAGCAGCCTGATTATAGCAAAGAGACACATTCATCAAAACGGACTGAGGTGAACTTAAGCATGCCATGAATATACATATATACATATATATAAGGACCGTCAAAGTTGACAAGTTCTGCGTTCACACAAAAAATAAATGCTCACGAATTATAGAAAGTAATAGATTCTGACGAAGCTTATTTTGTCCACTCATATAGCTATGACTCAATGTACTGCTTTTAAAAATTCTTTCTTTAGGGTCAATTTGAGCAATTCAGACAAGTGTATTAAGTACACAAAATAACTGATCACAGTATTTTTAAGTCATAATTGCCGTAACAGCCCTAATTTATATGTATGGTGAAAAAAGGAGGAGAAGGAGGCACTGGTATCTGCGACAGACTAGCTGGTTTACCTTTGAAGGAGGCTCCACCTCTTTAGGGCTGGATATTTCAGGTAACCTGTTTAAAGAAGCAGAAATGCTGTATCAAAAAACATGACATATTTCACTATTACAGTATTAAGGTGTAATATTAGTATTACTAATTAGTAATACTGTGCGCAGTTATACTAGCAGCTGTGTACTACATACTATGAACATGTACAGCAGCCCGTGCATGTTAAAGGATTAAAATATTTTAGGCCAAAACATTCTCAAAACTTGTGTGAGGGAGCTTTCAGAGTCTTCAGATGTCTGGTTCCCATCACCACCACTGTGAACAGTTCTGACTTGGTATGCTTCTCTAGAAAGGTTTTGGGGTTGTTTTTACAGAAGAGATTTGGGTGACTATTGACCACTAATATTTGTTAGCAAGGTTTGCCTCACAGCTTCAGTGCTAAACTAAAGAAGCAAAATTTGGACAACAAATATTTTTTGGCTTATCGACTACATCTGGGGGAAAACTGGTTAAATGTGCTTTTTCACTGAACGTTAGTTCACTAGTACATGACAAGGTAAACTACTGTGTGTATGTACACTTACTGCAGGTGCTTGTGTAGGTCTTTGCTCAGTTCTTCACTGATGTACTCCGAGATGAGCCCATGAGCGTATCGCAAGTAGTCTTCTGCAAAATAAGCAATTTTAGATAATTTTAGAACCTGAGCATGCGCTGTGTACACAAAACACTCAGTACAGTGACTCATAGTGCTGGGCAGACTCCAAACAGCAACTCAACACACTTCAAAACACTGACAGCACTGTATTATGGCAGATGATGCTTTATTACATCATTCTGTTTCAAACATGATTCAAATTTGAGATACACCGATTCAATTTTCTTTTTTGGTATCGATTCCTACTCAAATTATTGTTCAATACCTAGTACCAATCAGATTTTTTTCTTAATCAATTTAAAATCATATATTTCATACACTGTGCTGTTACAACTGAAAAGCTCCAAAACATGATATATATTTTTTTTAAATGTTACTAATTACAGATTTTTTAAATGAGGCACACTAGAGGAGCATTTCATATTCAATTATATTCTTCTAATGTATTTTTAAGCTAGAATGCTTAAACTGATCAATATAGATATCTTAACTATTAATTTAAATGTACCAAAATCACCCCAAATATGACCATTTTTAGCCTGCAATAATTAATAAAAATGCAAAAGTCTGAAATGGTTATTTGCTGACTAGTCTAATGTGAAGTACATCAGAATTAGAAAGGCGCTCCTGAACAATGTGTTTATTCTGAAGACTTATTTGTTAAGAGAGGCTTTTATTTTGACATGCTTCAGCTAGGGGTTGCAAACTCTAGTAAAGGACAGTGCTTGAAATGCAGCTGTGGTAAAAACTGCAGTGAACAGGCATGAAAAGAGAACAAAAAAATCAGCTTTTCTGCTAAACACAGAGCCCAAAGTACTTTATTAGCATGGAAATAAGACTGGACTGAAGAACAGCTGGACTAGGTAGGCTTTGAAATAGGAAAGACCCATTTGACTGACATGCAAAACATCCAATACCAGATAATTTAGCAAAACCTTCGCAACGAAAATAAACATGAAGTACCAGCCAGCAAACACACCGTATCGCATCAGTGCATCACTACTTAAAACAAAAGTACATAAAGGATTACTTATATAGACTTATGCATATTTCACAATATTACAGATTATCTATCCTTAAATATGTATCAAAACCATTGTTTTCACAATGCATTTACATAATCAACCACCAGATGTCACCATCATGCAATGTTTCATTCAACAGTGAATCAAAAGTTCAAAGCTTCACTTGTTAGTTACTAAGTCACTCAATCTCCCCTTTACCTTCAGAAGCATCTGTTTCCTGTTTGACTCGGACATATGTAGTGGACTTCACTCCTCCACCTACAGAAAGATCACTCTTCTTGAGTGCACTCACTGTATTCTGAACCTGAAATGACAACGAATTCAAGATTATCTTGGGGAAATAAAGACAGACTCAACCATACACAATGATATTTAAACAAGCACAATTTTTAGTGGTCTTGCAGCTTAAGTATAAATTCTCTAATCAGCTGAGAAAGTTGTACTGAGCAGCACACTAAGGGTCACGGCCATAAACATACATAGTCATACACTTGTGGTCGATGAGCTGATGCTGTAAATCTATCAAAAACTGACTTCATAGGTTGTACAACTGTACAAACCTTTTTCTTCAGCCACTCCAGGGTCTTCTCCTGGTTATGTCTGTGAAACTTCAGATCGCCAACCACTACCAGATGAAAAAGTCACACAAATGTTGACCAAACAAACAAACAAACAAATAAATAAACAAATAAAAACCCTCATCAAAACTTTATAATAGATATGACACTGTAGGTATAAGCTTGCATACCTTTCTCATCTGCCACGTGGTGAACTGAGTCCAAAGCCTGTGTGCATTTCAGCAGCCTTGTGCATCCTGGGTAATCTTCATCCATCACCATCTGCTGCAGCGGCTGGAACTTCCCCTGTGGATGACATCAATATCAACCCAAGATCTCACAGAGCTGAGATCATGCATTCATTTGTTCTTACAGCTCATCTATCAACAGCTGACTACAAATTATAAGTGTAGCACAACATTGTTTACTCTTCTGCACACTTTTATGAAAATGATCTTTGCTGTTTGTCTTCTTATTCTCCAGGGTATATTTTGGTTTGTTCATCTGAATTTACATGACCAAATCGTAAGGCAAATTATTCAGTAACTGCATGAAATAAGTGTAAGTTTTAATTATTATTTTTTTTTTTTTGTAAAAGTTCCCCTAAAATGAACAGAACGTGTTTTATGATCACAAATATTGCTATACATTTACAATTTATTGCTGAAAGCCAAAAATCTTAGAAGCTCTTGGTATTATTTTATAAAAATAATTTTTACAGAGCAGATCACTGAAGAGACGCCATCTGTTTATAGTTTATAGCCCAGATTTGTGGAAAAATGGGTTGACTTTCAGTAGAAAAAAAAAGTGAGATCAGCTTCTTTTATTATAAGGGATTTAAAATTTCATCACCCATCTATTTGACTGGAGAGAAGACAGTTACAGCTCTCATACGACCCCCACCTTTTGAATGTAGCTTATGAAATATGGAAGTTATGAAGAATATGGCGAAGTGTGTTTTGGAATCACCGGTGGTCTCAAGGAGTTGAAAAGGTTACACTGCATGTTTTATGCTGCAGGCATTATTAGCAAAACACTAGGATGACAGGATGCACAAGTTTACCTCCGCTCCACCGCGCTGCAGGTACGGCAACAACAGAAACACTGGATCAACAGCGGTCACATACAGCAGTCTGCCATCTGCAAAGACCAGCAAGCTAAAGTTACAGCTGCATCAAAGCAAGCCTATCACTGGCATTTCAAACATACTCTGGGAACAGGGGAGTGTTCAACATGTTTAATGACCATTACTCAAAGCTATACTATGTAGGTTTTGGGGATTTGGAGACCTCTCTGTAATGTCGGCCGTGTTTTGGACCCCTTCCCCAGGCAGCTAAATCTGATGATTTGATATGGTGCCTTTTCAAAAGTCTTAAAATAATAAATAAAATATCTTTAGAGTTAGGCATATACATTAACAGCTACTAGCACTGCTCTGTAGGCGACCCTGCCAGTCTGCAGTGATAGCAGAGGAGGGTAAAGTTCAGCTCCTCACTGCTGGGCTTTAGTTACATTTAGGGCATCATATGCCTTCAAAGAGGGGGGCAATTATTTATTATCACCCACCCCTAATTCTTCAGTGATACGAAGCTGAAGTCAGATATTCTCCAGCTTCTTGTTTGAATTTTCCCGTTCCACCTTAAATGGAGCAGCAGTTACATTCTGGCACTTCAGGCGTCAGAACTGCCGGACTATTTAAGGTGGAACAGGAAAGTTAGTTAGCTAGCTACCGAGATGTTAGCATACTATTAGCGATTTTTTATGCTTGTTATGAAGAAAACATCATTATATAATACAATGACAGCACATTAAACTAAGATCATACAGTGATTATCGTAATTTTTAACTGGTCTCTTGTGCTTCATCTTGCTGGTTTTTCTTTTTTTTCTCATATCACTCTGTTTGGAGTCTCTGAAAAACCTCAGTTTAGAGGGCCATGTAGCCCCAACACTTCGCCCCCCTATATCTCAACAAAGGTTGGGACACCCTACCCCTAGACGAGAACGCAAAAAACAGAGGACTAAGGGCTCAGTGGCAGGGGCGAGGGGTGAAATGGGATTGGGCCCATGTCTGGCCTCACTAGGCTAATAGGTATAGACCAAAAATGTGGACCATCTGGACGGCCCCGAGGACTGCTTTGAGATTCGATGCCCTAAGATACCAAAAGATGTTCTTCTACACCCAAACAATCCTCTGTACTCAAAAAAGTCCTTTTGTGCCACCTTTGCTGTTAAAATTGTGGGCAGTACAGTCCTAACAAACAGATGCTCAGAGTGTTCTCACCTCTCTGGACTGTCTGGTCAATAAACCAGGAGTGGAAGTCTTCAGTGAAAGCCTTCACCTCATACACGTGCTCATCCCCATTGCTGAAAAGGTACTGAGAGGCAGCACCTATATACATAATACATAACACATAACACATAAGGGCTGTTAGTCATCTAGCTCGATGACCATAATGAGCCATTCAGCTTCAACAAGGCATTTAATATATACATACGCATCAAATATAGATATGTATAAAAATAGAACGCTACCTGTTGCTGGGTTCCTGAGTTTAACGAAGTTGGGGTCGCCGTCATGTGGCTTCGCTGTTTCCAACGCTGAGTCTGTTCACAATAATAGAACATACAGGGTTGAGTCACACTGAGAGAAGACTGAAGAGCATTTTAATGACCAGGCACTGATGCCAAAAGTTCAAAAGGGCTCAAAGGTTTATCTAAAAATGATTTCTCCTCCCTCTAAAACAAAAGTGATGTCACTATTTACTTGTTTGTTCTGTATTAATCACAAAGTTTTCCCACTGTGTGCGCACAAGAAAAAATAAATGAAATATTGGTATTGAGATGCTAATGCTGTCATTCCTTAGCATTGGATTGAAAAGCAAATAAGTGGTAGCGTTATCGCCTATCCCTACATTTGGACTCCAATTCCTATGGAAGCCCATTCCAGCCACTAAAAATAAAAGATCCAGCACCTCATTATATTTTTTTGGTATTAAGTGAATTGCTCTGCCATTATTTTGCAATACTAAGTCATTACTTTGACATACGATCTCACTATTCTGAGATTTTATGTCATTAGTTTCCGAAACTCTCATTCTGAGATGATTTCACATTATTTTGAGACGCTTTATGCGAAAGTTTCTGAAAATAATGAGAAGGTTCCTCACAATAATGAGAAAGCATCTCAGAAAAATGAAATAGTATCTCAAAATAATTGCTTAGTTTCACAAAATAATGGCAGAGCAATACACTTGAGAATTAAAAAGAAATTAGGTGCTGTATTACTATTATTGTTATTATTATTATTATTATTGTAATAAACAAAAAAAAAGCTTTTGTACGAAGCCCCGCCGGTGACATCCTGTATAAATAAAAATAACGCATGGCCATGACTTAGTAAGGCATGGGAATGAAATCCTAATGCGTGGTCACCATGTAGTAAGGCATGGGAACGAGATCCTAATGCATGGCCACGAATTAATCATCTCATTCCCACGCCTTACTAAGTCGTGGCCACGCACTAGGATCTCGTTCCCACGCGTTAATAAAGCATTATTTTTATTTACACAGGATGTCACCAGCAGGGCTCCGTACTTTGGTGCATTCCAGAATGGCCGTGTTTTAATAAAATAATTAAAATTGTAACACTTTAGCGCTGCTGAAGCCCCTACAAATGCTAACAGGTGTCCTTTATAGAGTTTACACACCTTACAGCAACCTAAACATGTGGATTATAAAGACCAACCTCTCTGAAAACTTCAGCTTTCTTATTCGAATCTTCCGTTCCACCTTAAACGGTGACGTTACAACGAGGCGCCTCCCGTGCCTGAGAGCCACAGCTGCACCATTTAAGGTGGACCGGAACATTCGAATAAGAAGGCAGGCAGACGAGGTTTGAACTTCAGCCTGGTAACTTTTATCCACCAGATATGACTTCTCCAACAAATAGAGTGACTCGTTAAGCTGTCGAACCTGCAGCGATGAGCACCCAGCGGTCGTTACCGGTCTGAGGCGAGCGCTTCTTCTTGGTCGTCATTTCGACGGTTTATGTTAATCCGTTAAACTCTGGGACTGAAGAGCTGCAGCACCAAGCAAAAATGGCGGCACGTTTCTCAGTACGCCAAGGGGTGTCCGCAGTTTCTGCAAACTTCTGATAGAAAACATTTCGTAAAAGTACTGATGAAAAATGTATGTATTTTTATTTTTTCAAAGAAAAGGTATTCAATGCTGTAGTATTCCCGGACTAAACTATGTATATTTCGATGTACCCGAAAGTACTTTTACCGTCACCCCCCTAAAATGGTACCTTCCCAACCAGGCCGGTAAACACAGCGGATTTGGCGCCAGTTGGAAATTCTGTACAGCGACGTTTCCCTGTGTGTACAATATAGCTCCAAAAGTATCCGGACACCTCTTTAAATGCGCCATTTCTGATATTTTATTTTTTCTGGTATTTTTTTTTTTGTTCACTTTTATGTGAATTTATTGACCAGAAAAACATAACTAATATTAACGTGGCCGTTTTCCAACCTCTCTTTGGTGCGGAGCCCCTAAGGGGCCGTGGTTAAATAATAAATAAAAAAAAAGCATTGCGTTCCCTCGCAAATGTTTTGCATTACGATGCAACGGTTTGCATTCGCTTGCAAAAGCTGTGCTTTGCTTAAGCTCAGATATGAAGCAGCTCATTGAATTTTATGTTAATCTTGGACTGAAATATAAAATCAAACATGATTAGTGACGCAAACTGAAACTACATTTACAGAGACTGCAGAGAACAATTGCTGAATAAACTCAGCACCGACTGGCGAAACTGGGAAAACCACGGAGCCCCGCTGGTGACGTCCTGTATAAATAAATTTAATGCGTGGCCACGACTTAGTGAGGCATGGGAATGAGATGATTAAGTCGTGGCCATGACTTAGTAAAGCGTGGGAACGAGATCCTAATGCTTGGCCACAACTTAGCAAGCCGTGATCTCGTTCCCATGCCTTACTAAGTCATGGCCACGACTTAATCATCTCATTCCCACGCCTCACTAAGTTGTGGCCACGCTTTAGGATCTCGTTCCCATGTGTTAATAAGGCGTGACCACGCGTTATTTTTACTTATACAGGATGTCACCAGCGGGGCTCCGTAGAATACAGCTTTTAACGTTAGCTATGCTAAAAACAAATGTAGGCAATGTCGTTGGTCACCTCTGGTCCTACGTTTGCTTGCTGTCTGACGAGCATATATTTTGCGAGGAAATATTTAACCACGGCCCCTTAGGAGCCCTTGGTTTGGTGTGAGACGCTCCGTTCTAGCGAAACTCACCGAGTCAGAATTGTTCACAGTGGTGGTGATAGGAACCAGACGTCCGCCTCTAAAAGCTCCCTCACAGAAAGTTACTACACAAAATGGTTATGAATTCACTGAGTGCAACCTGAGACATCGGCTGTCCACTAGATGGCGCCAAAGTCTTACAAGCGCTTTGGTGAGCATTGACACACTGCAGCAGAGCTGATGGTCGCAGAGACAGCGCAGTGAGGAGTGTCGGCGGAGCCGGTTTAATGGAGCCGGATCACTTCCTAGTTCTCCCGTTATATCAAACACATGGCTGCAAAACTCCAGAGGGCGCCCGCGAGCGAGGCCTAAATGAATGGGTCTGAATGGGGCTAAACGGCTAAAAACGAAAGGTTAGGATAGTTTCTAACCATTTGAGCAGCAACTTCCTTTAATTTTGGAAAGTAGAAGGGTGTATTTCACTAAAAAGCAATGAAAACCTACCTGTATGCTTCCTTTTTCTACAGTAAACAGGTTTTGGACAGTCAAAAGCTAGCATTACTGCTACTGAGCCCTGATTAGCATTACTGCTACTGAACGCTGATTAGCATTACTGCTACTGAGATCTAATTGGTTAGCAGTACTGATACTGAGTGCTGATTGGTTAGCATTACTGATACTGAGTGCTGATTGATTGGCATTACTGCTACTGAGTGCTGATTGGTTAGCATTACTGCTACTGACCGCTGATTAGCATTACTGCTACTGAGCGCTGATTGGTTGGCATTACTGATACTGAGTGCTGATTGGTTAGCATTACTGACACTGAGTCCTGATTGGTTGGCATTACTGCTACTGAGTGCTGATTGGTTAGCATTACTGCTACTGAGCACTGATTGGTTGGCAGTCAGTAGTTTGCTGTAGAAAAAAGGAAACATACAGGGAGGTTTTGTTTAATTTTTAGTGAAATAAATCCTCCTGCTTTCCAAAATTAAAGGAAGGTCCTGAACAAACGGTTAGAAACTATTTTAACTTTTATTTTTTTAGCCGTTTAGTTCCCATTCATTCAGGACTCGCTCGTGGGCGCCCTCTGGAGTCATGTTTTTGATATAATGGGAGAAATTAGAAGTGACCAGGCTCCCCTTAAACCAGCTCTGACTGTACTGTAATGCTGGTTGTATTCTCAGTATTTGCAGAGCTTTGTTTGAAAGGACTTAGTGTTTATCTTCCTCAGCTTTCGTCCTCATGTATGGGCGCCATTCAGCAGCAGACAGTACAGTCTGTCTCCCTCCCTGTGTCTCTGTCCGGGTCACACGAGGGCAAACGTCTGGGTCTGTAGAAGGGTTTCGTCACACTCTGGTGATCACCCAGCCAAGAGACACTCACTGACTCATCCAGGCCTGTGTGAGGGAACCGAAGACATGGACCCCCTGCGCAGTGGTTATTTAGGTCATGCGTGATCTGGTGAGGAGGGTTTTGGACAATCAACTACCACAAAATAAGACAGATTTCACTGATGGTATTTTTCAACACTGTGTGTTCATCAGTTGTGGGAGAATCGATACAACACAGTATCGCAATACTGTGTGAAAAAAATAGTATTGATACAAGGATGTTCAAATACTGATACTTTATTGATTAAGAAGTTTAGCATATTAAGCCCATTGCTAGAATAATAGGACACCAAAATAATTGGGATTAGAGCATCTGTAGAATTAAGGTTTTTCAGTGTTGCTGTATCTCCTTTACAATACTATTCTAAAACAGTTTTGCAAGAAAAATAAGTGAAATGTTAACAAACTTTGAAGTTTATTAGATAAAACAGTGTTTTAATTCACTTTCATTAAAAAAAATACCCTAAAGGGTTCCCGGGCGTGGTACCCTATAGGGTATGTCTTCATTAGTTTATGGAACATAGTAGTTATGCTACATAATTGTACCATGTTTCATACACCCTGCCTGGACGCTAGGCTTTTTATTTTATTTTATTTTATACTATTTTGTTTATGAAAAGGTACAAATATGTGACTTTCTGCTGGCAAAGTGAATGTATTATGTCTCTAAACTCATTTAAAGGGCTCATATCTAACCATTTTCTTTTTTCCACCTGAGGACCACTTATAACGTTTGTGTGGTTTCATGTATCAAAAACAGACATAATTAATTTCTATGTGACCATTTTCGAACCACTCCTTGTCCCTCAGAATTAAACAGGCTGTGCCTTAAATACTGTTATACAAACCCCAATTCCAAAAAAGTTGGGACATTTTGTAAAATGCAATAAAAACAAAAATCTCTGATTTGTTAATTCTCTTGAACCTTTGTTTAACTGATAAAAGTACAAAGGAATTGCTTTTAAATTTTTTGCTGACCAACTTAACTATATTTTGTAAATATGAACAAATTTTGAATTGCAATACACTCTAAAAAAAGTTGGAATGGGCCCAAAATAAAAGTGAAAAATTAACAGAATATTCAAATTACACTTTTGAAACATTTGTGCAAAAAAATGTTTAGGTCTTTCATCATCTACTGTACATAATGTTATGAAAAAATTCAGTGAATCTGGAGAAATCTCAGTCCGTGTAGGGCAGGCATGTCAAACTGGGGACCATCCGGGCCAAAGTGCTGTGGAGATTAGCGTTTACTTTTATCTAATGCTCTGAATTCAGTTCATAAAGACCTTGCTAATTAGCTGATTTGCTGAAGTCTGCAGTGTTTTGGCCTGTAAGGACTGGAGCCTGACACATGGTGTAGGGCAAGGCCAGAAACCACTGTTGAATGTGCGTGACCTTCAAGCCCTCAGACAGCATTGTATGAGAAATTATTACGCTACTGTGTTGAATATGGACACATGGGCTCGAGAGTGCTCCGGAAAACTGTCTGTCACTTAACACTGTCCACCACTGCATCAAGAAAATCAACTTGAAACTCTAATAGGCAAGGAGAAAACCATAATCAATTCTATGCAGAAACGCTGCCGAATTCTCTGGGCCTGAGCTCATGTCAGATGGTCCAAAAGACAGTGGAAATGTGTGCTGTTGACAGATGAGTCCACGTTTCAGCTTCTATTTGGGAAAAACGTATATTGACTTCTCTATGCCAAAGAAAAAAGGAACCATCCAGACTTTTATCAGAGAGAGGTGCAAAAGCCATCATCTGTCATGGTATCGGGGTGCATCAGTGCCCATGGCATGGGTGACTTGCATGTGTGTGAAGGTACCATTGATACGGAGGCGTATACTGGGATTTTAAAGAGACATATGCTGCCATCAAGACTATGTCTATTCCTGCCAGGCCTCATTCTGCACATGCTACAACAGCATGGCTTTGTAAAAACAGAATGCGTGGGCTTGACTGGCCTGCCTGCAGTCCAGATCTGACTCCTATTGAAAATGAATGGCGCATCACGAAGAGGGGAATCAGACAGCAACGACCACAGAACGTTGAGCAGCTGAAGTCTTGTGTCAAGCAAGAATGGGCAAAATTTCCTTTTGTAAAATGGCAACAATTAGTGTCCTCAGTTCCCAAACAATTAAAAAGTGTAATTAGATGGAAAAGTGACATAACATAGTGGTAAACATGCCTCTGTCCCAACTTTTTTGAGTGTGTTGCAGGCATCAAATTCTAAACTTGTTTCTATTTACAAAATGTAAAAAAGTTGATCAGTGAAAACATTAAATAAAGGTTCAAGACAACAAATCGCAGATTATTTAATTTATTATTTATTGCATTTTACAAAATGTCCCAACTTTTCTGGATATGCAGTTTGAATGTAAATTAGCTCTGTTCTGATTAGCCGCCTTGTAATGTGTCTCATTCAAAAGGCAATCCGGATTGAAATACTCCTTATAACTT